TGAAATTGCAGGGGGTTTAATTAATTTGTCATGCTGGTGTTTGTACAATCTGATTAGGTAACAGCATCTGATACGGTATCACATAGGAGAGGATTCATCAGACTGAATAATTACATGGATTAGAAGAGGACCTCTGAAATGCTTACAGGGCTGGCTCAAAGCGAATTGCGATCAGCAATCCTGAAAGGAGATGCACAGGCCTCAAAGGAATTTACTGGTGGGGCACTGAAGATCAAGCTGATATTCTTCAGCATTTTCATTAATTTTTATGCATCACATCACAAACACTGAGAATATGCAGATTACATATGCTAAGGATGCAAATCTAGTAAGCACCACAGGCACAGATAGTTTTGAGACTTGTGTAATAAAAAGTTGAAAATGCCAAGCCAAACACTGGAGACTAATAACAAGAATTTCTGGTACGAGCCAGGAGCTTGTCTGTTGGACTAGGGGCATGAACACACTGCCAAATGACTGACCGGCAGGGTGATGCAGACATAGAAAGAGGCAAATGCATATGGAGAACTGGTGAGGCATTTCTGGTAGACACTGAGAAATATTTTCTTCTCTACAGCATCAAGGAGGCTTTCAGAGCATCCCCAATTCAGTGGAAGGTTACTAAGTTGATCCAGTGGTACAGAGAAACCTGATCAAGTGAGTGGAAACCAGAAGAGGTTGTTTTCCATAGCAAAGGGAAGGCTGAGAAGCTGCTCTGTTTCAACATAACCATGATGGAAAAAACAGGGAAGAAGTGCCACTTAATTCAGAAAACAGTGCTGGCCTTAGAACAAATGGGTATAAACAGGGATTGTATACAATCTGGCTGAAGTTTAGAAGATGGGTCTCCAACAACTGAAAAAGAAAACCGCTTTTCTTCCAAAGGTAACAAGGGCAAAAAGATATGTGGCATGATCCCTTTCAGCAATATATGCATCTTGTGCACTTGTAGGTAGGGAAACAGCTTGGAAAACAAAGGAGTGCCTACATCTTATTTTAAAATTATTATTACAGGTACTAATGTCGCTTGGATTGCTTGTTCCATTTCACCCCCTATTTCAGTACAACACCAGATTTCAAACAAGAAGGCTTCACCTCCTTTTGCAAGGGATGATCCAAAGGACAACCTCAGCAGAGGGTTCTGGCTTAAGTCCTCCAGGTCACATCTCAGAGGTGCTTTCCCTTAGCTCTCCAGCTGTCTTCTAACACCAAACAGCTGGGCCAGTCTCTGAGGCAGTATGCTTCAGTGCTGCTGAAAGCCTGGTACGTGTGTGCAACGCTCTGTTATGTAAGGGCAGGACTTGGTTGTTGGGGGTTTTTTATAGTCCTGGTTTTTTCACCCCACACTATGGTTACAGCTTCCTCTTGCCTCCCCATGTCCCCTTTCTCTAACAAGTAACAGGACAAATGTATAATAGTCTTTCACAAAAGCGTGCAAGGGAGGGATTGGTCACAACCATATTACCCCTACTTTCCTGTGCTCTCAAGCACCATAGCACCCTGCTCATCTTTCTTTGTACACTGCACTCATTGCACCAGCCAGAGCCATTCAATATTGTTATGTTTACAGATCTTCTTTTTTTTTCTTTTAATCATGCTGCCTTCAACTTTTATCAGCCATGCCCAAGTTATCTCCTTTAGCATCAGTTAAACCAATATTTTATCAGTATCACTGTCTTACATGACTACATGTGCAAAGAGAACAGATGAATATATATTAAAAGATACAATGAAGATAACTGTATGTACACTGCAAGTCCAGATAATGAGAAATTTGATTAAGGACTTTTTGGTGTTTTTTTTTTTTTTTTTTTGGGGTTTTTTTTTTTTTTTTTGGGGGGGGGGGGTTTTTTTTTTTTTTTTTGGGGGGGGGGGGTTTTTTTTTTTTTTTTTGGGGGGGGGGGGTTTTTTTTTTTTTTTTTGGGGGGGGGGGGTTTTTTTTTTTTTTTTTGGGGGGGGGGGGTTGTTTTGTTTTGTTTTTGGGGTTTTTTTGTTTTTTTAAATTTTTTTTTAACGCGTGCTATCTTGAGAGCCTTGCATTTAATAAGGTGCTTAGGCTTGTAAGGGTACAGAGTCTGAGGATTGCTTTGGTAAGAGTGTGTGACAGGATCTGTGTTCTTCTTTACCTGCTTAAACTTCAGAAAGGTAGGGAAAGGCATGAGACGTCCTACACCAGACAGATGTAGGAGCCAGCTGCTGTGCCTCCAGCATGGTTTGAGCCTTGCTCAAAAAATAGGCTAGGAATGAAAAAGACCCTAATTAGTTTGTTGCCTCAGTCCACTGGAAAGAAAGTCTTCTTTTATGTAACACCACCCCCCTTTGTGTTTTCCTTACTCAGTTTTGCTTGACTTTCTTTTGTTTGTATTACACTTTTTGATCTTCCAGGGCTACAGAGCCTCACTACATTAGACCACAATCCCTTCCAATGCATTTACCTGCTCTAAAGTGTTACTTTTAGAAAATGTATATACTGGAACAAACTTAGCCAAAATGCCTGATCATAAAAGTGGCTGCACTTGTTTTCCACAGCAGCTGCAGATGCTTCAGAGATGAATCCCAAGCATCCGCTCTGACTCTAGAAATCTTTTCCAACAAGCTTCTGTGTGAAAAATGCAGCAGGAAGAAGCTTAAAGAAGAATTCTTCATTGCCTTCTACTTTCTATAGGTATTTTCATCTGGATAATCTGAAAAGAAGGAAGCTCTCCTCATGAGGTTATAAGATGGAGGAAAACTGAAATGGAAAATGGAATAAATCTTTCTGTTTTGACTTGTGAGTAATAACTGCTGAAGCCAACATTTCCATACAAAATGCTCCACTGGTTTATGTGGCCAGGATGTTTTGCCACCAAAATCTAGGTGGAGTCAATTGAAATCTGTCCTGTGGGTTTTGCGGTGCACTAATGTTTTCTAAATTTAATATCCTTCAGGGCAGGAAGGCTTGAATTCCTGAAGATAGCAACTCATGTATTTTTTTCCTTTTTCTTTCTTGCCAAATAGACCTAGGTGGAAAGGTTTCTTACAGTTTTTTGTTCTTCCTACCACAGACCAGTCAATGAACCAAGGTTTATTCATTTTGCCCCTCTGGGAGTGGTGTTCATCTGCATGTCTGAGAGCAAATGACTGCTAAAGTGAGGATAAACATCCTGTAAATGTCTGGAGGAAGGAGAAATAAACTGTGCCTCTTTGAAGTAATTAAAAACTGAGTTTATCTTCTCCATTTTTCAATCCTTTGAAGAAGTATATGTGGTGAGCAGTTCACTGAGGAATCATGAACTTTATTCCCCTGCATTTTCTGCTTAAAAACTCATCAGCACATGAACAATTCAAAGAATGGTACTAAAAAGTGACAACAGGAAAGGCAGAGCTATGATTTGTCTGGCAGTGAATTTCCCAGTGACTAAGTACTCACAGCACAAGAGTGGAAAAATCTGATACTATACTTGAAGGCCAGAGGCCATAGTCCAAAAAAACAATCTCTTCTAACAAGGAAAAGGTCATCAAGACTAAGATTTCATTTTATCTGTCAAAGTGTCCTCAGTTTTTCATGGGCACGAGGGCAGTCATAACTTCAAATGCCAGACCTGAAATTCTGATACAGCCAATTTGGCAGATGATGAATGAAAACCTACCATTCTACTCCCCAGAGACATAAAGCATAAACAGCTTTAGAAGGTATCTGATAGAGAGAAAGGAGTATTCACTCCTTCTGAATGAAGACAATATAATGTTGTAAGCAATCACATGGGTTCCACAGAGAGAAATTGCTTTTGCCTTTGGCTAGAGAAGTTCAGTGCTTCTTGTCTTCTGTTCAGAGGTGGCACTGTAATGTACTAGAGGCCAAGAGATAAAGGACGACATTAATTAAAAAAAAATAAAATCCATCCACATGCAAGAAAGCATTTACAATTCTCTCATGGATTTTAACAAGACTTTTGAATTTGGGAGCCAAACCAGACAGTGGTGATTAAAACCACTACTCTGAACGTCTATTTAATTAAGGCTGAAATTCAACTAAACAATTTGAGCTGATCTGAAACGGAAAATGAGGTGGTTTGCCTCCTTCTGTAGTGAACAGTCCTACCTTTACAAAACTTTCTGCTAGAGGTTAACCTCTCAAACCTCTCTCGCTTATTTGCCAAAGAAGAGTAAGGATACAAGCATTTCCCTAGAAAGCCAGTAACTTTTTTACAGATGGTGAACAGAAAATAATGCACATACACCATGTAACTCCAAGGAACTAGAAGTCAGACCACACTTGTTTGCAAATACTGCAGACATTTTTTGTTCTTCAATGACCAGACTTTTCACTATAGAGAGTGACTCCTCTATATTTGCCTAGCAGTGCTGCACATATTTAGTTTTAATTAAGACATTATGATAACCAAAAATACTGTTTCCAGTCTTTTCTGATGATAGAAAGAGAGAAAAAAAAATTAAGTGCTGTACTGCACTACTGAAATTTGGTTCCATACCAGTGATGATCCTATAACCAGAGATAGATCTTTACAGTTCTGTGTGCATCAGAAGTCCTTTTCAAGTGCTACATTTAAAGTAGGTTAAACCCCAATCATGGCTTTTTTCGCATATATTAGTTCTCTCATCTTGAAACAGGAACAAAAAGCCCTCATGTAAAAAAACCCAAACAAAGTGGGACATTATAGCTTTGAAAGGTATCACCATGAACTTTTTCAAAGAGCTTATCTGTCACTTGTATACTGTCCTCTTCTACAGTGACGTGCAACAGATAACCTGATGCTTCCTTAAGACAGCAGTGAATGACTGAGGTCATTTTGTTTCTCCACTGCTTCATGGTTAAAACAAAGCACAAATAGTTGTTGTGTTTAAACTTTGCACATTGTGAGGGAGCAGTACTTGTGCTTTGACATCAGACCATCAGCTGGGTGAAGCCCACACAGCCACTGGATCACTCCATCCCCTCACTGTGATAGGGGAGAAAATGGAAAGGGTAAAGGGAGAGAACTCAGGGGCTGACATAACAACGATTTATTTGCAAAAGTAAAAGACACACACACAAGGAGAAGAACAGCAGAACACAAGCAGAACAAGCAATTCATTCACTTCTTTCCATGGGCAGGGAGGTGCTCAGCCATCCCCAGGAAATCAGGGCTCCATCATGCATAAAGGTAACTTGGGAAGACAGATGACATCACTCCAAATGTCCCTTCTTCTTCTTTCATCAGATCTTTTTATGCCGAGCATGAGGACACTTGGTCTGGAATATCCCTTGTGTCAGCTGGGGTCAGCTGTCCTGACTGTGTCTCCTCCCAACTCATTGTGCACCCCTAGACTCCTGGCTGGTGGAGTAAGGAGTAGAACAGGCCTTAACGCTGGGCAAGCACTGGTCAGCAATAACTAAATCTTCCTTTATTCTATTTATTACATTATCAACACTGTTTTCAGCACAAATACAAAACATGGCCCCATACCAGTTACTATGAAGAAATTTAGCTCTATCTCAGCCAAAACCAGCACAGTCAGATATCAAAATCTTCCATGTAAAGTACTTTAACTGAATTATCAGGCACTCTGTGTCCAATGCAGAAAAGAAAGTACTTGCCAATGAAACTACCTATTTATTCACTCATCACTGTTTTCCTGTACAGCTCTGAAAAAAACACTGGAGAAATGGGGACTTCTTTATTGACAATGTCAGCGCCATACATAGAAGAAAGGTTTTTGCCAAGTTTTCTCTCACCTTATCTTTCAAATCCTTCAATAAGGATTGAAAAACTTGCCATGCACCAATTAAACAAAAAAAGGCAACAGAGCAGCCCTAGTGCCTTAGAATTCCTGGAGCAATAGGGAGAAGATCTATATCTGATCTAAAAAGATCTGTTTATTAACTTAAAAAAATAAAGGTTTGTATTTTTTTAACCCTTTGAAGCACATGTTTTCAATTTCTGAATCTGGATGTTTGTCACGTCTGAATAACCTGAACTAATATTCAAGAATTAGCATGATAAATATAATAAAATTTGATTACACCGGATGCCCTAGAAATTTTTTTATTATTTACTTCATTGTCAACAAGCCTAAATATGGCATATGCCTGTCTTTATTAATTTAATCAAATAACTTCACTACATTACTTCTCTGAAGGGCTTAAGTCCACAGCTAGAATAATTTCAGACCTTCTTACTGTGCGAAGGCATTTCACTTCTGTATTTGTATTTAACTAAACCGGCTCACATGTTCTAAGCCAAGTCCTCTCTTTCAATATGCACATCAAAGGAACAGGAAAGCCTGTGCTCTGATGCTGTTATTAATTCAGCAACTGGACACTGACCTGGAAGGGCACTTTTCTTCTTCACAGCCTTCTCATTCAGACGGCTTCTTACAGTGATTCTCAGATATTTGAGATTTCAAAGCTGTCTAGCAGAGTTTAGGAAATCTGACTTAGTGTGTTTTAAGCCAACTCTTTTGATGTGTTTCTTAGCAATGTGCTCAGCTTGGATTTCCTAGTAAGAAAATTACTTTTTTTCCCCCTGCTTATAGCTTAGATGCTTGTTAGAGGCAGATCATTAGTAACTAACTTGGCAGTATCATTACCTTCAGCTGCTGGCTCACTAGGTGATTCACCTACCTTACTAGAAACAGCTAAATCCAAAGATATAATGATGTGATGTTAATTCCCTTCAGCAAGACAGGTAAAATGCAGAGGTTGAAGGCAAGCAGCTTTGGAGAGTGGCAGCTATCCAAACATCTACCACTGCTGCCTTTTGCAGGCTTCTTTAAAATGACTGCATTGGCAGAAGGCAATGCCCTGAGCAATCCTTCCAAAGCTATTGTACATGCTCCACGAGGTATTGTGCAGCCTACGTCTGTATGGTGGATATAAATTTTCCTCCTGAAAGGAATAAATCTTTCACAAGTAAGCGAAAGAGAAGATATGGTTTCTAAATGAATGATTCATTGTTTGAGGGTGCAGCCTTGATTTGTTGGAGTTGCTACGATACCGCAGCAGCAATGCCAACTTATCATAGCCCTTAACGCTCTCTGGAAGCTCAGTAAGCCGAAAAGGCATTGCTGAGAGAAATTATTTATTTTGAAACAGGACATCTGTATTTACCACAAAACTATTTTCAATCTCCAATCCAATATTCCTCCATAGGCTGGCTTCAAATTATGCATAATTTCCACACACTCTCCCCCCGCCCCCACTGGTGGTTCTGGGGGAGTGAAGGGCATAAACAGGAAGGCAGTGTACACTGAGAAAGATGGCAGGATGCCCCAAAATGGTGATTTAAACAACTCTCTTGCTGAGCCTGCCAAAACTTGGGTTTGGGCCCTTTTTGGATTAAAAATATATATATACTGTCAACAACTTTCTGCTGTATTGAAAGCATATGTGGCTTTGCTGATTCATGTTTATCCAGTAAAAGTCTAAAAGCATATAGTGCATATTCTTTGGGGAAAAAGCACAACAGGGCTACATAAGAATAAAGTCATAATTTCGTGGGAATCCTCATAGTTAAAGCTATAACTGTAGCAACACCAAATTTCTCTTTCGGCAGCATAAAAACTGCATTATATGAAGCTGATACCCTAAACCAGGTGTCTGCAGCAGGTTAACAGTACAAAACAAGGAACTGGCACCAACTAAATACCAGAGCCTCTTAAACATTACCAAAAGTCATGGGTGAAGCTGGGAGTGAGGTTAAAATCAGGGAGAAAGAAACCTCAGCGTGCAAATTTGTGATGCAGAAAACTGAGGGGAAAATGTGGAACTGAATTGCTACTGCTGCTGAAGGAAACTTGGCTTCTACTGCAGAAGAGCCTGTGCCTGTCTTAGGAAGAGGAAACACTTATGTCATGTCCTTCCTATGGGCTGCAGACTTTCAGAGAACATGAAACAACAAAAATAATTTAATAAATAAATAATTCCATCCAGTTATTGCAAAATTATCATGATGATAAAAACATGGCAGCCTCCAGGTAAAGATTACCTAAGCACACACATCTCTTCTGTTGCAAAATCAACTCAATTTTCTGCAAAGAACTGTAGCACATGTTGCCACCTCTCTTCTTCCAATGTTCTCATTAGTCCTCCTAAATTCAGAAAACAGAGAGTACTACAAAAATAGGAAGTCAGAGAGGACTTCTGATTGCTATTAAAAAGTTTTCTGCTCCTATACTTTGTCCCTGACAAGGCACAAAGTCAAATAAAACAAGCAGGATGGAAAACAAAGTAGGAAAATTGCTTGTAAAGAAGATACTAGATGGGGAAATGGATGCCCAGCAACTAATAACAAAATGAACTCATGATTTTTAGCTTACTCTTTTTTTTTTTTTAGTTTGTAACCCTGAAGTTTTTATTTTATTTTAAAAAATTGACAGATTTCTTCCCAGTTTCATGACTGAACTGGCATGAGAGTTATCTTTGGGTGGTTCTTGACTAAACTGAGTATATCATGCTTTGACACGTAGAAACATCATTCTTTCCTGATGAAGTTTGGTAAGTGGCGCTTGCTTTCAAAGTGCTTTGTCTGCCTGACTGACAAGTCCATCGTTTTTTGCTTTTGGTGCATGCTGAGAAATGACCCAGATTGTTTTTGTAGGACAAAGCACCATTTTAGTAATGGTCTTTCTTAAATAAAATCTTATTCAAAATTGCCATTAAATCTTTCTTCTCCATATCACAATTAAAAAGTCTCACTAAGTTAGAGTACTGATATATATCAGCATATATATCAGAGGATATCCACTGGTATCTGAAGTGTGATTTGAGATGACTTCTATGCACAAAAGATATTTGCAAAATAACTGTGGACAATTTTGGAGCCCTAATCTTACTGACCCAACTTCAACGTACCACTGGCATTACACTGAACACACACACTTCAAAAGATACAGCTTTAATATAAATATATGGAACCTGAGGCTAATTTGGCTCGTCATTTTGCAGTTTGCTTAAAAGGCTGAATAATCAGATGCTTCATCCTTGGACTGAAGAAGGATATTCTTTCTAAATCCTATTACTTTTCAGTTTTTCCTCCCTTGGTACTGTGGTATGTGAAGAAACTGCTGAGACCTCCTATTCCTTTGCTCCTTGATAGTAGCAGGAAAACAAGGAGGTTAAAAGAGCAATAAGGGAATTAAAAGGATTCTTAAAAGAACTTGAAAGGAAGTACAAGCAGTGTCAGGAGGAAAGCACACTCTCTGAATGAACGCCACTGCTTCCTGACAGTATCTCCAGCCTTTGATTAGGCTCAGCCCCTGGAGACTCCTGAAAGAATCCTAAGGGCTAATTAGAAAAATGACATGAAGTGATGAGAGTTTCCCCAGCTGGTCTTTATTCTCTACTTTCCTTCTGAGGAGGGGGAAACAAGCAGAAGGAGCAGATACACAGCAGTAACATCAGAAATTGAGCCACATTCATTATGGTGGTTATTCTATTGGATTTGTGTTGCAGTTGCAGGGATTGAGCTGCATGAAAGGAGGCCACAGGATTAAAAAAAGGTCACTCCTAAGAAGCCATCCCTTGGTGTGTGTGTGAAAGGCTGTAGGAATAAAATGACTCTCAGGCAAGGCTGTGCTGTTGCTACACCTTTTTAAATACAGCCAGGGGTGGAAACAGCATGAATAATTCACCCAAGAGACTTGCTAGATTGAAGTGGAAGAAAAAGTGAATTTCCTGCCTTTGCCACCAGTATTTACAAACTGTATCTTGCTTTTTAATCTTTCTTGTTGGTAATTCTTACTGCTCTCCTGACACTAGATTAATTTGTAGTTTGGCACATTGTCTGAAAAACTGAGGGCAGTGACATAGCAGAAAGAAAGAAGAAGATAAAAGAAAATCAGGAGCCTGAATTGATTTGCCTGCACCAGCAGCACAAATACAAATTATAATGGAAAAAAGCAACCTTCCATGTAAGCTTCTCAGACTTACTGTAGTTTATATGTAAAGGTAGCTCTACCTAGAAATAGGTACTGATATAGTTGATTATGTTATATGTTAGCTTAGCAGGAACATCCTTTGACAACTGTGGGGATAAGAATTAATTCTCCTTGGTCTGGCATTTCTGTGCAGACAGATCATGGCTGTTGGGTAACAAAGTCTCATTACTGGGTATCTGACAAAGAAGACAAAAAAAAAATCACAACAACTGTGACACAGCTGTCCTAGAGGACGGAGCTGCACCTTCCAGCCAAGCTGAACCATTTCTGAATACACCACAACAGCTTAAAAGCATAATGTTATACAAAAGGCAGTAAGATGCTAGTGGTGGCTGTCACAACTAAAACCTTTAGCATGATTCGGCACCGGGTTGGGAGGGGGTGGGGAGGCAGGCAA